CATAAACCTGTGACTACCTTCTGCTATTACATGAGTTCCTCAACATAATTTCTTCATGTTTCCAGCCAAGAGTTTTTCATCACTTAGCCCTTTCTATCTCTTCTGAATTAATGGCAGTGTCAGCAGCATGGAGCTACATTTGCAAAAAAAAATCACCTTAAATTGGCATGTCTTCTCCATCTCTATTTCTTCCTAAGGACATGTTCATATAGACTTTTTAAGGGATTGTGTGGGCTTTGTCAGCACTCTGAATTTTCACATTATGAGAGTAAAGGAAGCTGCTATCATGCCACACACAAACACACCCCGTTCTATCAGGATCTGGCATGTTTGGTCAGCCGCAGTTGAAAGTGGAGGAAGGAGAAGAAGCTGGGAGGGCTGGGAAAGCCGTCTGCTTGTCTCCTTGGAGACCCACTGCCAGTCAGGGCGAACAACACCAGGTTTTGTGGACAAATTAACTGAGTTTGGATCAGGCAGTTTCATTCATATGGCGAAATATGATGCATGAGAGACAATTTATGAGGTGCCGCTCATCCCAAACATAACCTATATAACATGCATACTTTTTCAGACCCACAGCTCTGTGGCCTGTTGCATTGGGCTATGCCTTTTCTAATGTCTTCTACAAATGCTTCTTCTGTTCCACTGCCAAACAGGAATTGAAAAGCTCTTTTTTGTGTCTGTTACATTTTATATTTAATACCTGAAAATGACTACCAGCCCAAATTTAGGAACAGTTCTGAGATGTACACAACTGCTTCCAGCATTCCTGCTTGATTAGCAACTTCATGCCACAAAAGACAGCTCTTGGGTTCCACCCCCTCCCTCCCAATCTTCAAATTTATGAGCAACTTCACACTTTAACAATTCTCTTTTCCCTTTGGATGGGGAATGCCGTTCTTTTCTGCAGCAGTGGCCTGAAGCTATTCCATTCACAATGTCTTTAGCCAGAGCAGCAGCATCTAGCCAACGTTTTCATTGGAACAATGCCCAGTTGTGCCTCATTTATTCAGGAAACTATCTTTTGCTAGAGAGCATTTAGAGATTATTACCCATGAACCCTGCAGTGCAATATATATTGCTCAAAACGTACCACGTTTCGGCTGATTATGGCTTTACATCACTGACACTGGAGCCGTGAAGCCAGAATTCTTTTTACTAGCCAAGAGAGATTCAAGTGGGCAGGCACTTTTTGGTTTCCAAAGAGTATAACAACATCTAGTCATGCTCTTAAGGCTTTCATTTGCAAATGTTTTAACTATGTTCAACAGATACAAAGATGGCAGGAGGACAAAACAGGTCAGCTGGGAACTTGGAACCATTTCCTTCTCCAGAGGACTGCTTCTTGCTCTGGAACTACTTAAGCTGTGCATCTGGGGGGGGGGGACCCACAACACCCCACACATGCACATGTACATAGGACCTCTCCTCACACATGCAAATCAGTTCACACAATACCCTAAGTGTACTTGTAGCAGAAAATAGCACTTGCATTCCACTTCAAATTCTATAGGCCCCATCTATAGCAAAGGCTTAAACTGGCTTGATAGGCATTGCATCTTCTGAAAGAACACAGGGGCCAATAATGTCTAAGGGAATCAGGCAGAGGGCCTTCTCGGTGGAGGCGCCCGCCCTGTGGAACACCCTCCGATCAGATGTCAAGGAGATAAACAACTACCTGACATTTAGAAGACATCTGAAGGCAGCCCTGTTTAGGGAAGTTTTTTATGTATTTTGATGTATTTTTAATCTTTGTTGGAAGCCGCCCAGAGTGGCTGGGGAAACCCAGCCACATGGGTGGGGTACAAATAATAAATTATTATTATTATTATTATTATTATTATTATTATTAGGAAATAAATACTCAGCACTCTCAACAAATGACAGTTCTCAATATTAACTTCCAAGAGAGTGGTCTTATGCTGTTACATAATGGTTACATGTGGTTTTATACCATAGATAAGGCCACAGAATAAACATTTCATCTATCTCATTTTATCTCCAGCCCAAGCTACACATTACACAGGAGATCCATGACTGGATCTCCCAGTGATTTAATTTTTACTTGAAAGATGGAAGGATACATCGCGGTGGGATGAAGAGTCTTCATGTGCCCAAGGAAATGCAGACATACAAACAATCCAGAGTAGTGTGCTTTTATTTTTAAAACTTGTAGTACCAATACACATAATAATAATAATAATAATAATAATAATAATAATAATAATAAAAAAATAATTATTTATACCCCACTCATCTGGCTCGGTTTCCCCAGCCACTCTGGGCGGCTTCCAACAAAATATTAAAATACAATAGTCCTTCAGATATTAAAAGCTTCCCTAAACAGGGCTGCCTTCCAATGTCCTGTAAAAGTCTGGTAGTTGTTTTTTCCTTTGACATCTGGTGGGAGGGCATTCCACAGGGCGGGCGCCACTACCAATAAAGCCCTCTGCCTACTGTAATCTTGTGCAGAAAGAGAAAATCTGAAGTAAAACCTGGGCTGGAACCACATCAGACTCTGGTAAGATGGAACCATTAGAAAAACCAGTGGCATTCCAAACATTTCAGGGGGCTTCAAAAATGAGGCCCTAGAGAAAGGGGCGTTTAACCCCTTCCCCCCTGTGCCACTTCCCTGATTTAAACTGCATCGTCAGATAGGAGGAAATACAAAGCAGCTGAAGGAAAACGGCTAAACACACCACAAGATTCACTCACAGGTCTTCAACGTAACATATATTTAGGTTCTTGGAATTCAAAATAACCCATTTCCTGTGCTGCGGCCCTCTTAGGCATTCTAACAACTTTACACCAGGGAGACGACTTCCAGTGAACTTCCGATCACACATCTGAAATTCTCACAACATCCTTCTCCTATGCCAGGTTTAAGATGCGCAACATGTATTACTCACTCCAATAATTCCTCCGCTGTTATCTGAGAAAGAACGAGTCTCCCTGGGATCAGGATCATAATTACAAATAGCTAGAAGGATCCGTTCTAAGAAAATGAGATATTTTCTTCAGGTAGGACAATCAAAAATCAATTAGGGCTTAAACACAAGGCAGCATTGCCAGGCCCTGGAGGTGTAATAAGTAGCACTTGGCTTGCCTCTTCATTACCAAGATAATCAAGGATGACACTGCTTAATTATTTGCAATGATCCTACATAATTTGTTTCTGAAGTGTTATGCTGAGTTAGGTCGCCTTGGTATGCAGCCACCAACACTTCCATTTCCACACTGTTTCTTCTAATAATAAACTAGAAGCATAAATCACATCTTTTGAAAGTTTCCAAACAATCCTGCCAAGAGGCAAAATGGACAATCCAAGGGATTGGGTTTCTTTGTTTTCCTGTCTGAGTGAAACTTTGCCAGGGTGCATTCTAGTACAGTGGTACCTCGGGTTAAGAACTTAATTCGTTGCGGTGGTCCGTTCTCAACCTGAAACTGTTCTTAACCTGTAGCACCACTTTAGCTAATGGGGCCTCCTCCTGCTGCCGTGCCACCGGAGCACGATTTCTGTTCTCATCCTGAAGCAAAGTTCTTAACCCGAGGTACTATTTCTGGGTTAGCGGAGTCTGTAACCTGAAGCGTCTGTAACCCGAGGTATGTGGGGGTGGGGGTGGGAAAAGCCTCCTTTCTGTGGTAGCTCCTCACATATTGAACCCACTCCCTCCTAAGGTGCTTTTGGCCTCATCTCATTACAATTTTCTGGGAGGCTTTTCATTAAACAAATATATGAGTTGCTGCTACAATTAGTAATTGCCCTTTAGTGATTTGTTATGAGTTGCTGTGCTGTTGTTATTAATGATTGTACCTTTTTATGGATTCTTATGTGGGCTTTTGGCTGCCCTTTGCAGTGTTCAGTGAGCTCTTTAGGTCCAATGGATGCTGGCCAAGCCCCAGGTCTTGCCGACAGGGAAAGGCTATCACTCAATGATAATAATAATAATAGTAATAATAATAATTTTATTTATATCCCGCCCTCCCCTCAGGGCGGCTAACACGAGGTATAAAAACAATTGATTAAAATGCAACTTAAAAACAAGATGAAAATACAACATTAAAATGCAGCCTCATTTCAGTAGAAACTCAAATCAAAAAGTTTTGGGGGGATGAAAACGTCAAGTCTTCATCAAGGCTAACTATCCAGACCGGTCCTACATGGGCCAGAAAACAGCCAGGGAAGTCCCCAAATAGGAGTTCCATCACAGGAGGAGAAAGGAAAAAGGGAAAAGGGGGAGGGGATCAAATTGATTCCAAGCCAAAGGCCAGGCGGAACAACTCTGTCTTACAGGCCCTGTGGAAAGAAATCAGATCCTGCAGGGCCCTGGTCTCAAGAGACAGAGCGTTCCACCAGGCCGGGGCCAGTGCTGAGAAGGCCCTGGCTCTGGTTGAGGCTAATCTAACTTCCTTAGGGCCCGGGACCACTAGGGTGTTGCCATATGTGGACGTTAAGGTCCTCCGTGGGGCATACCAGGAGAGGTGGTCCCGTAGGTACGAGGGTCCTAGGCCATATAGGGGTTTAAAGGTCAAAACCAGCACCTTAAACCTGATCCTGTACTCCACCGGGAGCCAGTGCAACTTGGAAAGCACTGGGTGAATATGCTCCCATGGCAGAGACCCCGCGAGGAGCCTCGCTGCAGCATTCTGCACCCGCTGCACCACCCCTGACTTGAACTGACCAACTGGCCACTAGCGTGAGGATGCAATACAAGAAAACCTCCATATTATGTCCACAATGCTAAAGAGAGAGATGTTGTGCAAATGTTTTTAAGCCATCCCTAGTGATTAAGGCTGTGTACACAACTGGGCCGTTAAAGCACAGTTGAAGCACTTTCTTTCCCTCAAATAATTTTGAGCACTGTAGTTTACACCTCACAGAGTTAATAAACTTCAGAATATCTTTTCTTATATCTATGCTCCTGGGACAGGCTGCTTTTTCCTGACACAAGGTTCTTATGTTAATTCAAAAAGCCCCAAATGACTTGGGCCGAACGTACCTGATTCCTTATGCTGCACCTCAATCGCTGTGATCTTTTGATTGGCCCCTAAGGCTCAGTCTGCCCCCACCAGGGGCCAAGCCATTAGTGCAACAGATCCTGCCCTGTGGAACTCCTTGCCAATTGAAGTCTGGCAGGAGTCATCCCTGCTTTCTTTTAGATGTCTTTTTAAAAGTGCACTTTTCTGACAGACTTTGGAATGTGGTTTTTTTTATTAAAAAAAACCTGTCTTTACCAATGCTTTTGTTGAGGTGATATATCACCTTGTTTTATTTTTGATGAATATGCCGTTTCTAAATATGTAAATAAATAAAATAAATAACTCTATCTAGTTCCCCCTGCTGCAGGCAGATAGTTGCTGATTGTCCAGCCATCAGGCCTACTCATGTCTAGCCCCAATATCTGGCCTTCCCATCCTGAATTGGGTTAATTCTATTCCTTATTCAGTGATCTCAATTAAAAAAAAACAACTCCATTTATGATGCAAGCAGTAAACTTTATGATAACGGTTTATTAATACTTGACTGCATACTCCCCCAATTACAAATTTTGGAGTTGTTTTTAACAGCGCTAAAGCTAGCATTATCTGTATAATGCATTTGTTTATTTACCATGAATATTTATACACAGTAAACTCTCAATAAATCGGCAGTGTTAATGCCAGCACCAACTGTAAATCGCTACATAGAAATTTACGGTTAATTTGCTAGAATCTGATGCACAGGCAAATGCAGTAAATTAAATGTTATATTCTAAACGAGGTTTATGACTTGCACTCTTCTAATAGATGTATTTTTAGAATGGAGATTCTTGTGGGGAGGCAGACGAAGAACACAAAGTCCATAAATAAAAGCAAGGGATGCAAAAGGGGGAGGGGGGAGAAAGAGAGAGGAAATCAAGAGGATTAAAATTAAACCAAGGCCAGTGGGGCTAATGGCAGGAACACAGTGCTAAGTTTGGAGGAGGAGATTGCAGTAATTAGTTAATTACTCTGAAGTGCTTTGAACATGAAAAGTGCCGTATAAATGCTAAGTGTCATTAATAATCAGTTTTATGATTTCCCTGCAGTGTCAACAATATTTTCAAACTCATTCACAATTCAAGATCTCTTCCCCTTCCTCGACTTCTGCGAAAGGAGGGTGTCTAATTGCCGTATCGAGTACATTTCTCAGATTCTGCGGTCTGTCATTATTTCAGTCACTGTTTCCCTAACTGGCCTCCAGAAAGGGCAACAAAAACACTGCAATGCTTCAGTCTGCACTTGCCCTCAGAATTGCCGTTCTGACCCTGGCTGGCCCAGTTCTATGTCTCCAACAGTGGCTGGCAAGATGGCCCTGCTAGAGCACTTGCAAGCAGAGCAAGGGGGTGATTACCATCTCAGCCGGTTGCCCCACGCCTTGCAAATAAATAGAAGCAGGCCAACTGACTACTGTATTAGGGCTGTGTCCCCGTAGTGATGATGTATGGAAGTGAGAGCTGGACCATAAAGAAGGCTGATGGCCGAAGAATTGATGCTTTTGAATTATGGTGCTGGAGGAGACTCTTGAGAGTCCCATGGACTGCAAGAAGATCAAACCTCTCCATTCTGAAGGAAATCAGCCCTGAGTGCTCACTGGAAGGACAGATCGTGAAGCTGAGGCTCCAATACTTTGGCCACCTCATAAAAAGAGAAGACTCCTTAGAAAAGACCCTGATGTTGGGAAAGATGGAGGGCACAAGGAGAAGGGGATGACAGAGGACGAGATGGTTGGATAGTGTTCTCGAAGCTACCAGCATGAGTTTGACCAAACTGCAGGAGGCAGTGGAAGACAGAAGTGCCTGGCGTGCTCTGGTCCAGGGGGTCACGAAGAGTCGGACACGACTGAACGACTTAACAACAACAACAATAGGAGCCACCCCTCCCAATCCACCCTGAGCTGGCAGTCTCCAGTCAGGCTGACCCAACCTAGGGTAACCCAGGGACCACCTTGCTTGCAAAGGAGAGCTCTGCACCAGCCCTGCATCAATGCCTCCACTGAGACGGCCATTGATCCTGATTGGTGATGCTTCAAGAATAGGCCTAAAGCAGGAAGAGAGAGCCAATAGCCAGCTCTTCTCAAGAAGATGCAGCCAGCAGTCAGGGTCTTGGCCTTTTGACAGGCTCTTCCTGGTAGATGTTTGTCTCGCCAGAGTGGTGCATGCTCTAGTTCAGTGTTTCCCAACCTTTTTTGGGCAAAGGCACACTTGTTTCATGAAAAAAATCTCGAGGCACACCACCATGCCAGATGGGGAAAGGTCACTTTTTACTTATGTAAAAAAAAATAAAAAAATAGTAACAGCATAGAAGGTAATGGTTAGGCTAGCATCCCTCTTCCAAATATGCTAGGTTTTTATTTGCAGGGACTGTTCTACATGGGAAAGCATTCAGCACTGTCATTCTCCCATCTGCCATCTGAATTGGTACTATTCTGGGTCAACTTACTCTGCTGCATGTATAGATGAAAATGGCACCAAGTGTGGGGGAGGGGGCAGAACAGGTTTCAGATACAGGATATTAAGCATACACGTACTTCAGATTGAACTGGTTGCTTGCTTTGCAAGTTTTCATTTCCCAAATGACTGCCTTGGCAAGCGCAATACCTACCAGGCTCAACGCCGGTCTCGCGCTGCCGCTTCCCGCGCTCTCAAGGACCCGGGAGGAGGAAGGCGTGAAGGGAATCCTGAAGGCGCGAAAACCTCGCGCATGCGCAGGCCTTCCGCCTGCGACAGCCCAGTAGGCCGGCCGAAGCGAGCGGCGATGGGATGTGGGAGGGAGCTCGCTCGCTGCCCCGCGTGTGCCTATGTGGGGCACGTTACAGCCCCGTGACGTCAGCGCCACGCAGGCAGCCAGGCAGGCAGACGGCGAGAGCCCCGCGCTGGGCGGCCTCTCCTCGCCGCCGCCGCCCCGCCTCTCGCCGCCCGACTCGCCCGCCTCCCTCCAGGCAACATCTCGCGGCACACCAGGCAACGTCTCGCGGCACACTAGTGTGCCGCGGAACACCGGTTGGGAAACACTGCTCTAGTTATCTCCCACTTGGACTACTGCAATGCGCTCTACGTCGGGCTACCTTTGAAGGTGACCCGGAAACTACAACTAATCCAGAATGCGGCTGCTAGACTGGTGACTGGGAGCAGCCACCGAGACCACATAACACCGGTCTTGAAAGACCTACACTGCCTCCCAGTACATTTCCAAGCACAATTCAAAGTGTTGGTGCTGACCTTTAAAGCCCTAAATGGCCTTGGTCCAGTATATCTGAAGGAGCATCTCCACCCCCATCGTTCTACCCGGACACTGAGGTCCAGCACCGAGGGCCTTCTGGCGGTTCCCTCGCTATGAGAAGCTAAGTTACAGGGAACCAGGCAGAGGGCCTTCTCAGTAGTGGCACCCGCCCTGTGGAACGCCCTCCCATCAGATGTCAAAGAGAAAAACAACTACCTGACTTTTAGAAGACATCTGAAGGCAGCCCTGTTTAGGGAAGCTTTTAATGTTTAATAGACTATTGTATTTTAGTGTTCTGTTGGGGGTTGCCCAGAGTGGTAGATGGTAGATGATGAAAATGATGATGATGATGATGATGTTTGGCTCTTCTCCCACCCTGACAGCCATAGATTGCTCCTGGCCATCCAGCCCAACTTTGGATGGTTCGTGGCTGTCCAAACCTGACTCTGATTCCCAAGTCCCAAGAATGGCAAAACAAACTCTGAGTTTGTAGAAATGGCAAAATTGATGGCAATTATTAGCGGCCTTTCAAATCAGAGAATAATTAGAGAGTGGGATGGAGTGAAGGAATACATGAAAAAACACGGTTCCGGAATTGAAATATTAACAGAGAATGTGTAAAACGTGCCGGGGTAAGCAAGAAAATAATAATAGAATCAATTGAATAATTCTTAAATTATAACAACACAACAAGATGGAAGAAGTAAAATATTGAGATCACACATGGGTGAAGCGGAGTGGGGGGTATATGGGAACCTATAATATCATTTTATAATATAATTTGGTAATTGTGTTGTATTTACATATAGCAAAGGGAAGCCTAGAGCAGTTAGATATATTTTAATTTAGGTAATCTATGTAATAGGCTTATGTCAGAAAATGAATATGGATTTTGAATTTGATGTTTGTAATTTTTTTTTGGTTTTGAAATAATATTTTTTAAAAGAAAATACATAAATAAGGTCCAATTTGGCTCAGGGCTCAGCTGAATCTGGAGCACCACTCTACTTACTGTGGAAGCTCCAATCTCAGTCACCATGTCTAGCATTAGGAAATCAGCTTGTGTTGAGCAGGGGTGGGAAACCTGAGGCCATCGCGATATTACCAGGACTCCCAGCTCCCATCAGCTCCAGCTACTACGGCCAGTGGTCAGGAATGATGGGCGTTGGAGGCTAGCAACATCTCAAGGGCCACAGGTTCCCACAACGCTACGCCAGAGCCTTACCTTTTGCCCTCCGACAACTTCTGCCATCCAAATGTGAACAGTTACCCTTTGCCTGTTTGATCCAGCCCTGTGGAATCTTTCCAAGGTGCCAGCCAAGTTATGCATAGAATTAGCAATCCAGAGGCCAAATCTTGACACTGAAATTAACACTCTTTTTGTGAACGCTTTCAAAGCAAAAAGGCATCATTATTGAATTTTTCTCCATATTTGTTTGCCCATAATTCGCGTTTCAAACCCATGACAACGTTTCCACGTAAACAAGATGGTTCAGACTCATATAATTTTATACATTAAAGTGAAAGCCTAATTAGCCTCCAAGTCAAGCCAATTATGTCTTGTTTGCTGTAATATTCATCCAGATACATAAAATATACTAAGCAGTGTTCCATCTGAATCCTATCAAGCAAAGTTACTGAAGCATGAGGCCTGCGCAGGCAGTGAAGCAGAAGACCATGCTATTACATGGATAAATGCTCCAGAGTTACTGAAGCAATGCAAAAACAATCACAGAACATGGCTTTTTGAGGTCTCCCATGCAACTCATTTTTTAAAAATAGAGAAACAGGAAAAAGCCATTCACTACCCAGAGGCCTCTGACTGCCCCCACTGCTAAAGAGGAAAAAGCCATTTTCCTTC